GCTTAAGAACCTGAATTTTCAGGACTCAGGAACCGGTGCCTTCTACCTTGTCCAAGGGCATGAAAAAACCTGGATACATTTTTTTTTCGCTTCCAAGTGATAGTTTGATCAAGATCCTAAACACAAGAAGACGACAGTGCTACAAACCCACACATCAAAGGAGACATGTTTATGCTTATTTTGAATCTTTTAAGGGGAAGCAAGTCCTCCACACCTCTATTCTTTTTATCATACCTAAGAGGGTATTAATATAATAAAGACATGACTATATAGACAACCAGCACTGTTTGGGCCAACAGCTTCCCCAAACAAACCCTTAAAGAATCAGATATGGTCCCAAGTTTGACCACAAAAACAACTGCAAATAGAAACAGCTAGTGTTGAGCTCCATCATCCGGACAGCATCTACGGAGGTCAATGGAGTTAGGGATAAATCCATCCCTGGTTTAACTCCACTGAAGTCAAGAGAGACATAGCTGGAATGAACGTGGCCCTGTCTGTCTATTGCTTTTAATATGCATGTACCTTTGAGTCTGATACACAGCAGGAATTGATTCATGCTATGGCTTAGGGCTATTGGCAAAGCAATCAGTTATGCCGTACCTTTTAAGAAGCTGATCATGAAGTAGTAAGTTGGATGATCCAATAACTTCTCAGTCTTACTGTAAATTTGGAATGTCTTAATGATATGCAGAGCCCAGAGCATTTGGCAAGGTTAAGTTCTCCCATGAAGCGCTCTGGAGGTGGCTCTTGCAAGGTCCTGGGCATACCCACTGAGGTAATAACGAGATTATTCCACCTACGACTGCTCCACGGTACTGCAGTGAAGTTTATTCGGCCAAGTTTCAGAAGTTAAGCTTCAGCCAATAGGACTGATAGCTTATTTACCACTGTCATCTATATAAAGAAGAATTTTGACACATTGTTAAATGATAGCACATTTAGATAAGTCAAGCTGTCATATAACTTAATGGATGTCTAAACTCCCTCTGTAGTGGATATGTAAAATTTATGCACTTCAGAATATCATAAGGTTATAATATTTTAATCACATCCACATTTTTTCTAAACTTTGAACAGTGAAAACATTCCATCAAGCACAACGCATTCAGAACATTCTTGGCACTCAGTGAATGGCAAAACAGTCTGAACTAACTAGATGCCTCACATTACCTTACCACTTAAGTTTCTGCGGAACGTTCAACCATGCCGACTGCCTCAAGCACTGGTTCGCACAGACGCGCAAAAATGCCTGCCTTACTGAAACAAAATGTACAATATTTGATTTGATGAACTTGCTCACACAGTGTAACCAGGGCAATAGTAGGTATTTATCGCCCAGTTTGGAGCAGTCTTTGATATCCAAAATCAGTAGTCCACAATGCTTTCTACTTCTGCCTTTTTAAATATAGAATAGGCTGCATCTAGGATGCAGACAGCATAGAATCCATATACTGCTATACCGAACATAATAAAACAGAGCAAATTAAAACAAGAAAAATCATAAAGGTATGAAACCTGTTATGACTATTACACACAAGAAAGCTGTAAAAAAATACAGCATTAGTAATGTACACTATAAAACAATCTCATAACCAAATGAAATATGCCTGGCATTATCTTTGATAGAATTTTCTCTCTTCTCATTTCCGAGCCTACTTGCTGTAAAAAGGCTCAGTGCCATTGTGATCAAAGTGCTATAGAGTATCCCATTTTCTGCATGTTTTACATATGCCCACCATTTGTCAAGGTTGTCCAAACTTTGCCATTGCATGGGCGTTCCAGGCAAACAGGCCTGTGCGTACAAATTTTTAAAAAATGCATTTGGGGGAATAATAGATTATTTCAAATTTTTTTTTTAAAATAGAGGGCATTAGGCCAAACTGGCACAAGGTCACCTTTCCCACCACCATCTGGGGCGAGGTGCCAGAAATGCTGCCTGGATCGAAGACAGCAAGAACTCTCTCTACAGTAAGCACCCAGACCCAGATACCCATTCATCCAGAACATCTGAAAATTAAAGCTATATACCTCTTTCCAAGGAAGCACAATTAAGCTGAACAGTCAAACTAGATCTTCCAAAATCTGCCCCCGCCCCAGCTCAAAAGAATTTTTTTTCTTTCAGACCAAAAACTAGTTGTAAATACAAGTTGGTGCAAAACTCATCACCAGAATGTATTAAGGAATCCTTTGTATCCCATGTGTTTAGGATGCTAATACCCTGCAAACCAAAAGGCTATAAATGAACAGTCATGGAAAGCGGGCTGGCTGCAGTACCTGTATTACTTTGAGGGTTGGGTATCACAGATGTACTAAGTAATCTGCTTAAAAGCCAAAATGTATTAAATGCTGGAACTGTTGAAACATTACTGAAGTGCCATAAATCGTATTTAAATTTGTTTACTCCCCTATGAAACATGCCTCATTTTAAAGTCTGTAATATCCTACAGGGATAAACCTATTTAATATCCATGTAAATGAGCATCTCTTCTTTTGTAGGAGTTCCAGCTTACACCTCATCTCATTACGTGCCACATACAGAAAGCTGTAGAAATGACAAAATGTAAACATCTATTTTTTTCAGGTCAGCTGTCCTCTTGTAAATGTTAAAGGGCTTATCATTAATTTCACAGACCAGTAGCACTCTAGTTGTATACAGTATTCTGTGACCTAAACAGAACCACAAAGGATCTCTTTCCTAATGCAAGATAGGTGTATCCATCACAAGTCTAAAACACGGACAATCAGATCTATATGCACCTTGAGTAAGGTTAGAAGACTGAATATTAGTTGGCTAATGAAAATTTTGTTAACTGACATTCAGGGATGAATGAACCCAAATACCACTGCTGTAAATCTGCACGCTAAATTCTCAAGACCTGAATAACAATAGGACCACAGAAGGGCTTCAGCCAGCCCTGAGCAGATTTGATTCTCCTTCTGCTGTCTCCCATATCTGTTTGCCATGCTCTTGTCATTCCTTATGTTACAGAACATCAATCATAAATAAAGAGTCTATGCCCTTAGAGTGCCCAGGTCTGATTCACAAACATTAGCAGGGAATACAATTACAATTGCCTAACACCAAATACAATACAGCCAACCTAGAACAGGGGGAGGGGGAATGAGCCTTTTATTTTTAAGACACTTTTGGGGGGGGGGGGGGTGTCGCTGCAGCTTTTTAAAAGGCAGAAAATACAGGCAACAGACAGTTTGGTTTGTTTCTTTGCTACATGCTCATGGTCAGTAAACCTCTGAAAAATGCAAGTCACTTGCAGCTTATGTTTTAAAAGCACCTTGCCTTGCTTTTGAATTCATTTGATGAGAATGCCAGTTGTTGGGGCTCAGGGATGGTACCACTTGCCTGAATGTAAGAAACTTAACAAGATTTGCACATAGGCAAAAAGCAGCCCTTTTATCTTCAGCCTGATTATCTTTTATCTTAAGCTAATGTCACGGCAAACAAGTCAAGATACTATAATAGGTCTGTTATCTGCATCATTGCCCCTCAACTTCTGCCTGCTGTGATTGCAACTTCAAAGATTTAAACGTTTATGGAGTATTCAGCAGCAGAGACAACACAGTTGCCTCCTAAGCCCTGTATAAATATGAACTTAATCCCTTCAACGCACCCCTGAAAACAGTATCGATAAGATACACAACACGCTGTATGGACCTGCTCCAGGGCCCCTGGACAGGCAAGCCGAGCTCTCCCTTCTCCCCAGAGCCTAGCGAGAGGGGAAAAGGGGAAATCACCCCCCACGGAAAAGTTGAACATCTGCATTTGCTGAATTCACCTGCCCGGCAAGGCGCCCGGAGCCCAGGCCATTCAAGCCCTAACGCAGCTGGGGGGAAACTTCCAGCCCCGCACGGGGAGGCGAAGCCGGGGACCGCGGGGCTGGGGGGCGAGCGAGCGGGGCAGTAAGTCCGGGAGGGCAGGGGCCCCCTTTCCACACCCCGCAGCCGGCCCCGGCCCGGGGGTGCGGGGGGGGGGGGGGCAGTCCGCGCCGGGCCGCCCGGAGAAGTTGCGAGGCGGGCGGCAAGTGGCCGGGGGGGGGGGTTGTTGGGGGGGCCGGGCCGGCGGGGCGCGCCCCGAACAAAGGCGGCCGCGGCTGGGGGGGGGGGGGTCAATTCCCGATACCGACCGATGCTGCGCCCCGAGAAGCCCGCCCCGGGGAGGGAGGCAGGGAGCGGGGGGCCCGGCCGGGCGCGCCCCGCGGCTCCCCGGCGCCGCGCGGCCCGGCGCTCCGGCCACTCACCTGCAGCCGGCGCAGATCCAATTGCTTCCAATATTGAAACATCGATCCCACATCGGCGGCCATCTTGGGGGAGCCCGGCGAGCGGCGGGGCGAGTTCGTGCGGGGTGGGCTCCCGCCGCGGCGGGGCTCAGGGGCCGGGCGGGGCTCTCGCCCCCCCCCCCCTCCCGCGCCGGCCGAGCCCCCCCACCCCCGCCCGGGCGCTCCAGGAGCCGGGGCTGCCCTGCGGTCGCCCCCCTCCCTCCGCCGCCGCCCGCCCGCCCGCCCGCGAACAAGAGACGGGAGCGAGGAGCCGAGCGGAGCGCGGCGGGGACGGGGGGAGGCGGGCGGGCGGGCGAGGAGGTTTCCCCGGCAGCGAGCGCTGCCCGCCCCCTTCCCCCCCCCAAAGTCCGGGCGCGAGGCGCTGCACTTGACTTTGGCTTCTGCCCCCCCCTTATCGATCCTGACGTCACGTGCGGATCGATGCCGGAGGCCAGGGAAGGAAGCGCTTTGGGGGGCGTAATTTATTGGAGGGGGGGCCCCAGACCCCGCCCCCACAAAGTTACAATGGTTCCGAGTTCGCGGTTTGTTGTTACTCCCGGGCCCCCCCACCCCCAGCCCCGTGCGGTCCTGGCTCCCGCCGCGCCCGCCCGCTCCGTCCCGGGGCCGGGCAGTGCGTTCCCCGCGCAGCGGCTTGCGGGAGGCGCGGAGAAGCGGGGACACGCGGCTGCGGGTGGTTCTGCCTCTCGCCCCGTTGCGCGTGGTGGGCTGTACTGCCCTGGCTGGGGCGGGGCGGGGCTCATGCACCCCCCACCCCCTTTCTGTGCAGCGGCGGGGCGCTCGCACAGAGCGGACCAGGCTTGGGCTGCATGGACATAACACCCGGCTAGAGGCGGCGCCTGGTCGCCCCCTGCTTTGCCTTTTGCAGGGGAAGACGGGCCGCCTCGCTGCCAAGGCTCGTCGGGCACCGTGCCAGCCTGTTGCCAATAATCCATATCTATCCTTCAGGCAGGCGCTGATTCTGTGCCCCCCCCCCGGGGAGAGAGAGCATTGGAGCTGCATCAATTTTGCTGGGTTCTAGGAAGATGTATCCTTCAAAGACAAAAAGTACAGGGGATGGAGAATTATATTTTATGATCAGCCAGCTGCCGTTACATCATTCTTGTATAAGGACGATAGATCCCGGCAATGCTTCCTAGATGGATAAAGTTCACAAGAGTCATAAAGCTAACGACTGTCTTCTGTTTTCTATGCCCTCCTCCCTTTATGCCCTGTGGAAGGAGGTCTAGGATAGCGCCTGCTTTGAAGCTATTTTAAAAGTTTGTTAATGTCAAGCAAATAATTGGTTGATCATCCCTTAGATACTGAATTGCCTGAAGGCTTAGTTCTGGATCATTCAGGCTGGAGATGGCTCTTCAATCACAATACAAAATTTCCCCTACTACCTTTACAGCCTTTTTCCCATGGGCAGGGCTAAAATGTCATTTATCAAGACACAGCCAGCCAGTCTTCTCAATTCCCTGTTCCCTAGAATTTGCAGACAGTAATGATTTTAAACTTTAGTACATAAATTGAAATTGCACCAGTTTTTCTAACAAAGACGATGATGTGTTGGTGCTTTTTAAAAAAATCTTAGCTACAGCCAAGTTCACAGTTACATTTCCATCTCCGCTGGACAAAATTAATGCATGAAGGTTTCATAGATATGTGGCATTACAATTTGTCTACTTACAACTCCTTCCTATAAGCACTTGAAATAACTGTCACTTTTTATAGCCCTTTAAGAGACAGTTGTAAAATCTGATACGTGTATATGATCTTGCAGTGTAATTTAATTCATTTTTAAACAAATCAATGTAAAAAGGTGACTTGCTTTCCGCTAGCTGCTAAAGAGAAGACTGCTTCCAGACAAAGCTTTTTCAGACAGCCAGTAAACTTTTTCAGATTTTCAAACTGACATGTTTTGCACCTTTAACCCTAATAGGAATTGCCACAGCAAACATGCTTACAGCACAGCAACAAGAAAAATCCAATAATTCAGATTGTTTGAAGACTGATATTTTTAAAACACCTTAATGCAGCTATTCTCCGAAGAATTCAAACAACTTTAATGCCAGAAAGTGATACTGCAACTAAAGCAGATTCATACTGATTTTTTTTTGTTTATTGCCTTTTTTTGTTGACGTTAGAGGATTTTCAAATATCTGCTCCAGATATTTTACAATTGTACAGCAGCTTGTTATGCTGAACGGTATTGCATGTGAAGATTCTTTGAACATTACATTTCTGTTTCACTATGTGTAAATAATAAATTAAAGTGCTAGGAAAACGTACCCATCTTCATACTGAAAAGATATTATTGATGTTGGTTGTGTCAGGAAGATTGTTTGCATGTGTAAAGAAAGTGCTAAATAGTTATTTTATTAGAATATTTTTCCTGTGACGTTAAGTGAACAGTTTTTAGTATCCAAGGGCACTACTTTTTGCCTGAGACATAGTTCTCTTAAAAATAGATACAGATCCTAAGCATCCACACACACAGGTAACATTGTATATGAAAAAAAAATAGCTCTAATGATTTTTTTTCTACGTTACAAAGAAAATTTGGGGCAAAAATGAGGCATGAACAAGACAGGGAGGAATACTAAGGATAGAGTGTAGCTTTATCCAGAAAACATATGTAGGCTTAAGTAAACATGCCTTTAGAAATTCATAGGCTTGCACAAAGATGTTCTGAGAGATAATGGCAGGTCCTTAACCACAAACAGATAATGATATGCGAATTCCCCTGCATCAAAGCCGAAACAAAAGAAAATGTCACCCAGGAACACTATGCAGCCCCAGACAGGCCACCAGAAGCCTGGCTACATGATAGACAACGCCTAAGCCTTCAACTGAATTCACTGTGAAGTCACAAGACCAGAATGGAAGTGTATTTTCCATATGATGACATGCAGGTATGCCTCAGACAGCTGCTGTCTAAAGATGAGGGTGTGACAATTATGTATATGATTTGGAGCAAGAAGTAGAAGCTGAAAATAAACATCACAAAGAAATAATAGCTGCAGCCTTGTTTTGTTCTGGGATCCTTCGTCCACCCCTCCCATCTGACGGTATGCCATGCCTAATTGCAAGTTCTGCTGGGGTATCGCCCACTAGGCTCTGCCTTCCCCACCCTGGTGAGTTTGTAAGGTGACTTTTTTTTTCCTAAACAGGGAAGATGTATATAGGAAGCTTTGCATGAGTTAGTACTTCAGCATGTGGCCTCTAAGCAGTAGAACACACTATGCACCTTGAACTACACAAAAAGTCACTGAAGTATCTAGATTCCAAACACCCGAGAGTGGAGAATTCACCTTCCCAACTTAGAACCCACTGAGCTTCTCGCTCTAGAGCAGAACTCCCAGCTTTTGGAGTTTCGTGGTCCATTTGGCTCTGGCAAGAAAGGGGAGTTCTAGGCTGCTATAGAATTTACGAGGTTAGTTTTATTCCACCTGGTCGCCCCAGCAGCGGTGCAGGAATTACTGTCAGGCCAGAGTTGTTTTCATTTGCATTTCAAGGGGTTCTGCTTGATGTGAAAAGCAGGAGTTTCAATTACATTTCCATTGAAAAGTGATGGTTTAAATTAAAAGGGACAACTTGAAACAGAGTCCATTTTTTAAAAGGAGTTAAATATAGTTTTCGACCCTCCACTCCCCCCCCACAGCCCCTGACCAATTTTTGTGGTTTTACCCTCACGTTTTTCCTCTTTCCTATTACACCACTTACACAAGGGTGACTCACCAGCAACACAAGTGCGACCAAATATCACAAGACTCATGATAAAGTCATGCAAATTAGCAACACCACATGGGAGATTTGTCATTGACTTAATGGGGGGGGCAGAAACAAACCCCAAGCCTTGATCACGCAGTGAGGTGCTTAAGGAAAGTAACTTGGACCTAAATCAGAGCGCGTCACATGCAAGTAATAAGTGCATCTCCACCCAAACTAATTCTAGATCCTGTTTGTGTCCCACTTAGCCCTGAAAACTTGTAGTGAAAGTGGTGGAAGTTGCACCCCAGAGCTTTAGGAGAGTCTGGAAATAAACCGGGGGAGGAGGGGGTGAGCCAGAGAGTATCTGTACCATCACCCCAATTAAGGGTTTGGGGTTTTGTGGTGTTTTAAGTGTAAAAGATTTGGTTCCATTCGCCCCCTGCTGTCATGTTAATGATGTCAAGCCAGATGCTAATGGTACTTCCATCGGAGGTGAATCGGTGCCCTAGGAATATCAGACAGATGCAAATCAGCACAGCTTAGATCTCTCCACTTAGGGGCCACTTTTCTCTCCTTTACACCTGCCATTGACCTCAGTCCACCAGTACAACCAAAGGCCTTAGGGGGCCAGATCCTCAGCGGCTGTAAATCAACCTCCCTCTACTGCAGTCCAAGCACCTACTTGGATTTACACCAGCTGAGGATCTGGCACTACATGTTTATATCACACTTGACACCGTGGCTTTCAGATAGCACACAGCACTGCAAGCAAGCAGAGCAAGCAAGCAGAGGCGAGTGGATGGTAACTGGAGGCAACAGGAGTTTTGTAGGAGTAAGGCCTACAGAATCAGGCCTACATGCAAGCTAGAGCAATTAGGTTGGTTTGTTTTTCCTTTCAGTCTTTTGCAAAAAAAAAAAAAAAAAAAAAATCTCTCTCCCCCCAGGGGCAACTTGTTTTTTTCTGCCCAGTCACCATCTGGTCCCTCGCCCCCACAGGGCTGGTGCTGGCTCCTGCCCTCTTTTACATCCTAGCTTGTGGCCACAGCAGCCAGGCACCACAAACATTGAGGATGGCAGCTAGAGGAGAACCCAATGTAGATTTCAGTTGCCTCCAGTCCATTTTCACAATGGGGAGGGGTCAATAGTGGGGGTCCCCAAGGATCTGTACTGGGACCTGTGCAATTCAACATACTCATAAGTGAGCTGGAAAAAGGGGTGAAAAGTCAGGTGGCCAAATTTGCCAACAATACAAAATTACTCAAGACAGTGAAGGCCAAAGCTGACTGAGGAGTTGCAAAGGGACCTCACAAAACTGGGTGACAAAATGGCAGATGAAATTCAATGTTGTTAAGTGCAAAGTGATGCACATTGGAAAACAATCCCAGTTACATATACAAAATGACAGGGTCTAACTTAGCTGTTACCACTCAAGAAAGATCTTGGCATCATTCTGGATAGTTCTCTGAAAACATCCACTCAATGTGCAGTGGCAGTCAGTCAAAAAAAGCGAACAGTGTTGTTAGGAACCATTAGGAAAGGGATGGATGAGACAGAAAATACTACCATATAAATCCATGGTACGCCCACATCTTGAATACTGTGTGCAGTTCTGGTTGCCTCATCTCAAAAAAAGATACATTAGAGTTGAAAAAGCTGCAGAGACAGGCAATGAAAATAGAGATATGGAACATCTTCCATTCAAGGAAAAATTGGAGGGACTGGAAATGTTCCTTTTAGAAAAGAGACAATGGGGGGGGGCGGGGGGAGATGTGACATGATGGAGGTCTATCAACTCATGAATGGTGTTGAGAAAAAGTGTTATTTACCCCTGCACATAACACAAGAACCAGGTGTCACTCAACAAAATAAATAGGCAGCAGGTTTAAAAAAAGGGGAAGTATTTCTTCACATAGCACAGTCAACCTGTGGAACTCCTTGCCAAGGGATGTTGTGAAAGCCAAAAAAAATATAAATATATATAACTGGGTTAAAAATAAAAGAATTAGATAAGTTCATGAAAGATAGATCCACCGATGACTATTAGCCAAGATGGTCAGGGACACAACCCCATGCTCCAGGTGTCCCTAGATCTCCAACTGCCAGACACTGGGACTGGACAACAGGGGATGGATCACTTGAAATTACCCTGTACTGTTCATTCCCTTTGAAGCATCTGCCACTGGCCACTGCCGGAGACAGGACACTGGGCGAGATGGACCATTGGTCTGACCCAGCATGCACATTCTTTCATGTTCATGGTTTTGGTTAGGCCAGGGCTATCCCAGCCATGGCAGACCCAGACCACGTCCAACCCCTTGCCCCCCTGCCCTCTTTGATACCTTATAAGCCCATCACTTACTATTAGGGGTAAGGAGGAGTCCTTCATCTGCCTACCGCAGCGTTCTGACACCTTCCTCAGACACATCTGGAGCTGGCCACTTAACAGAGACAGGACACTGGCCTAGATGGGCTTTGGGTCTGGTCCAGTCTGGCAATGTCTATGCTCCTAAATACGGCCTTCCACCGTCATACAGTCCTGCATTTCCCCCAGCCATAGATTCCCTCTCTGATGAGGTAGAGAGGATGCATTGCTTAGGCACATGCTTCTTGATTCCACTGCCAGATCTAGCACCCTCACTGTAAGGGAGCAGGACACAGGCAGTCTGGCCTAGCAGTCAAAGCTGGGCAGATGGCCACAAGTCTAGGATGGCTACGAGGCGGTAGTCAGCAAGCCGGGATCAGAGAAATTGCTAGAGCCGGGATCAACATGCAAGCATCAGTTAGGGTGAGAGACCGGAGGAAGTGACCAGGCTGGAGTCAGGAGGCCAGAATCAGGTCAGACTAAGGCTGGGGTCAGAGACTGGAGATCAGAACAACGTCTGGAGTCACCGCAAGCCAGAATTCTGCAAGGTTGCCCAGAAAACTTCCTGGGCCACTCTCCAAGCTTAAATAGTGAACGTGGGCCAATCAGAAGGCCACAGCATGCGGTCACTCTGGACCCTTTGGGCGGTACTTCCTGTGGTTCCTAATCTCCACAGTGCTCCTTGGAAGTAGTTCTCCAACCTCCCTCCCCTTCCCCCTCCCCACAGTGGCAATGTGGAAACATCAGCTAGCCCCAATCCCACAGGCCTGGGTCAGAGTCCCACAGATCCTTCGGCTCCCTGGGTGACCTTGGACAAGTCACTGTCCTGCTCTGCGCCTTGGGTCCCCCAATCAGCAAAACGAAGAGAATAATTTCCCAGCCTCTGCCTTTAGAATGTCAGTGCTCCCCTGCAGGGACTCTTACTACATCTGTGTCCAGTGCTAGTCCCCTGGGTCTTGGTTAGGGGCACGAGGTGATTCCAGACTCAGTAAAGATTTTCTTAGTGCCGTCATTGAAAGGCCAGGGGAACACATTTCCTCCCCCACCCCCATTGCTTGTATAAACCTTAAAAGCCCCCAAAAATTGACTATTTTGTTAACTTAGCCTAAAATAGTTCCTAGTAAAAACGTAGCACTAGACAGGGCATAAACTCTGCCCAAGGGTTGGTGGAAGATTAGCAAGACGTTGATGTTCAAACAGGCATTGCAAAGTGTCTCCTACCCTATTTTTCCTGCATAACAAGGATTTCAGAACACAGGCCCTAATTCTGTAATCAGATCCACACAGACAGACCTCAGGGCCTGTGTGGACAGAACTCTGTCCACACTGGGTCTGGATACAGGTTCAGGGCTTTGCCTATGCAGATCCAAGTGTGGAACTGGGGCTGAAGTGAGTTTCCCAGTGTAGATCAGGCCTTGAGTGCAGTTATGATTAGAGAAGTGACATGTCCTAACTCAGTGTGTTCTCTATGTGCCTTTGAGTCCTACATTTACTTGACTGACCAACACCAAACTGCGCCTCCTGTAGCCCCACAGAGCCAGCTCAGCTCTGAGAGAGCAGGCGGGATTCTAGTCGTTAGCAAGATAGAGTTAAAAACAAACAGCAAAGCCCGGTGGTGACTGAAGATGTAGCCAGTGCCCAGCTTGATTCTCAGATCCCTGGTGGCGTCTGCAGTGCCGGCTGTCAGAAACAAAACAGTGTCATCTGACGGGTAACGGAGCACGTTTGATCCTGGCTCGCAGGAGGGGGAGACAGCACGGAAGCGTTACAAAGGAGGTTTTTGTTTTTGTAAACCACAGTCCCTCTTCTGAGCTGCAGCATCTGCCGATTTCTCCCTTCAAACCCAAGGCAGGGGGGAGGGTGGGTCTCATCCCACGTGGTGCAGGCCCTTAGCTACGTGGAACCCCTGGAGTCGCATGCAGCAAAATTCTTTGTTCCTCA